TCCCATAGAGTGTCTCTGGTTCATAAGTTGTTTGTTGATTATGATTTTTACTTTCTTATAGTTATTCTTTTTCCTGGTCCCTTATTTAAGTTTTCTAGATTCCTGCTATGAGTGAGACCATCCGGTATTTTTCTTTTTCTTTCTGGCTTATTTTGCCGAGCATGATCCCTTCCAGCGCCATCCATGTTGCTGCAAATTGCATGTGTTTATCTTTTTTGAATGCTGAGTAATATTCCATGGTATATATGCACCACATCTTCTTGATCCAGTCATCTATTTTTGGGCATTTGGGTTGTTTCCAAAGCTTAGCTATTGTAAACAGTGCTGCTATAAATATAGGGGTGCAGGTGCTCTTTGGAATTGATGTTTCTGTGTCCTTTGGGTAAATACCTAGGAGTGGAATTGCTGGATCATATGGAAGCTCTATGTTTAGTAGGTCCAGAAATCTCCACACAGCTCTCCACAGTGGTTGGACCAGTTTGCACTCCCACCAACAGTGCAGAAGAGTTCCTTTTTCTCCACACCCTCGCCAACATTTGTTGTTGCTAGTTTTTTTAATATGTGCCATTCTCACTTGTATAAGATGGTATCTCATGGTAGTTTTGATTTGCATTTCCCTGATGACAAGTGGTGTTGAACATTTTTTCATATGCCTTTTGGCCATTTGCAGTTCCTCTTCAGAGAAGTTTCCTTTTAGCTCTTCTTTTAGCATTTTTTGACTAGATTATTTTCTTTGTTGTTGTTGAGTCTCATCAGCTCTTTGTAGATTTTTGTGATCAGTCCTTTATCATTAGTGTTGTGTGCAAAAATGTTCTCCCAGTCGGTGGGGTTTCTCTTTGTTTTTGTTATTGTCTCTTTTGCTGTGCAGAAGCACTTTAATTTGATGTAGTCCCAGCTGTTTTTCTTTGCCTTCACTATCACTGCTTTGGGTGATGTGTCTGTAAAGATGTCTTTGATGTGCATATCACGTAGTGTTTCACCTATATTTCCTTCTATGTATTTTATGGTTTCAGGTCTTATGTCTAGTTCTTTAATCCGACAATGGAATAATCTTAACAGATAACTTTCTCTGAAAGAAAGAATGGCTTCATAATAACTACCTGAAAAGATATTAAGAATAGAAGGCCTCAGAAACTTTCTCTGAAAGAAAGAATGGCTTCATAATAACTACCTGAAAAGATATTAAGAATAGAAGGCCTCAGAATTATATATGAGATACCAATCCACTTACTGTTCTAGAGGCATAATTTGCAAACACTTTAACTCAAGGGATTACCTACTAAATTAAACTGCTAACACTGAGATAGTCCATGAGTGCTTCACTGAGATTTTAATGGCTTTGTGGGTGTTTGGTGACAATAACCTTAAAAATTTTTCGGGTTAAAATTATTCAGTAATAGTGGTACACAACTTGGGAGTCCTAGTCGTCTTTTTGCATGTGTATGGGAGACACAGAGCTAAATAGCTCTGGGGGAAGGAAGCCTTGGTCCTGTCTAGAGCACTCTTTCCTTCATTCTCATGTGTAAATGGAATATCTTTTTATCAGGAATCTTTCTAGATAGGGTCTTCATTTTGTCATTAATATCCATCATTTCTATCCCCAGTTGGACTGATTATGAAAGCATATGGGCCTGCCTTTACTTGGCAACATAGAATATTTGTAGTCTAGGTTCATGTCAGCAAATATAGTGCCTCTTGGTCAATACTTATCAAAAGTTCAGTTATGAGGTATAATTTTTATTTATGGAGCATTGATTGATAGTTATGTAGCATTCTCATTTTTTTTCTAGATACTGTAAAATCAATCCTTAATTTAAGAGAGACTCTGAGAACCTAGCCTGTCATAGAGCTACTATGAAGAACTGAGCTTTGGCATTCACTATGCATTACAAGTGAGGCTTTAAAGAAAACACCTGACATTGATTTCCCACAGTAAGGAGGTTGATGCAGAGAGGACATAGTTGGCCATAACTTAGACGCTCCTCCTTATGAGCACCCATAGGAAGATTTTGTTCTCCTAAGCAGTTACTATGCTGTAAGCATTCGGACTCTAAATTACATGACTTCTTCATTGCACAACCTGCTAAGATGCTCAGAGCCAAATTCATGAATCACCTAGCACCTAGAACTACATGATATTGATTTTGTATACAATTTTCTCCATAGAGGCATTTTATTTTTGAAAAAATTGAGGTGAAATGTAAAATTAATCATTTCAAAATGAACAATTCCATAGTTTATAATATTATGCAACCACCACTCTGGTTCCAGCACATTTCCATTACTCCAAAGAAGCATCTGACTTAAATATTTTTTTCCATATTTCTTTCAATTCTTTGAAATCTTATTGCATTTCATGCTTGTCTGTAAAGCATCACAAATCTGTTTTTTTGGAACAAGGTAAGGTTTTAATAAATGAATTATAAGAAAGTCTAATAACAAGTCCTGGTTCTGGAGGTTGAGGAGGATTAGGCAGAAGGGAGACATTTTGTGGAAGTCAAATGATGGAATTTCAAGAAGGCATATGCCAGAAAATGTCCAATGAAATGATGTTGCTAAGTTGATTAATTAGAATGTTATCTTTATTTTTTTTAAGATTTATTTATTTTTGCACAAAAGAACTGGGGTATAGGCCAGAGGTGCAAAGGGCAAGAGGATTCACCAGAGACAGAGTGGGGAGCAGAACAGGCCAATTGACTGAAATACACTGCTGAGGGGAGCAGTAGGTGAGACAGGAGAGGTTTGTTTTGCCATGTCAATTAGCATCCTGGCTGGGATTGAACCCAGACCACAGCAGTGATAGCATGATAGTGCTGAGACTTAACCTCTATGTCACCAGGGAGGCTGAGGATGTCAGATTTATTTTTATGACAATCATGTCCCTGAATGTGCGGTTAAAGGTGAAACCTTGTGGTGATAAAGAGACAAGATAGTGAAGTTGCAGAAGTCTAGACTACTAAAAGAAAAGTGGACAGTAGTGAAATAGAGAAAGAAGCAGCCTTGGTTAAAGGCAAAGCAAGCCTGAGGGAGTTTTTTTTTTTTTTTTTTTTTTTTAAATGGTGGGCTAATTAAGTCAAATACAGTGTAATAGGTGGAGGAAATGAATGAAACTTCTGGTTCTATAATTAGTTATGGAATGATTTTGAGCAAGGCACTTCACATAACTAGCCTTGATTTTCTTACCTTTGAAACACAAAAGCTTAGCCAGGTTTTGTCTAAGATTCCTTCCAGTTTTACTGTTCTATGGTATATTTATGAGTGGAAGAAATGTATAAATATAGTAAGTATAGCAAAACAATTTTTAAAAAGTAGTAATACTTTCAACATAGCTATACCATCATTTTATTCATCTATATGAAATGCTGATATTATGATGTTTTATGAACATCATTTCACCAAATGTTTTGCTTTGTTTTATCCAACCAACTTTGAAATGATTTGAAGGTCAAAATAATGGTTGATGTGGATTGTGGTTGATTATAAATGGCCATAACTTCTTTGTTACTTTTCCCATCAATACGTAAGGTCTATGTTTTTTCCCCCTTAAATAAAGAGGGGTTCTATGGCCCCCTAGTCATGAGAATGTGAAGAAGTGACACTGTTTCTTGGCTCTTAGGAGATTGACAGGTTCTACTTTTTGTGTCTGTAATATTGACTTCTTGAATTCATCAACCATGCTCTGACGAATCACAAGAAACCCTGTGGAGAGGCCTGCACAGAGAAGAAATGAGGCCTCCAGCCATCACTTCTGGTTGAGCACTGACTTGTCAGCCATTGAATGTATAGATCTTTAAGACCAGTTAAGATAATACTCTAGCCAATACAGTAAGAAGCAGAAAAGAGTTGTTCCCATTGATTTACCTAAAAAACCCAATTTTTAGGTTTTATAGGTAAAATAGATGATTATCTTGTTAAGTCACTAACTGCAGGGGTGGTTTGTAATGCAGAAACAGGTAACTCTGTCATGCAGTGTACATTTTTCATTGGTAATCATATAAACCAAATGCAATTTATGTTAGGTGGTTCTGTTACCATGTCATATGTGTATTTGTGAAAAACCTGTATTTCATAAAATTGCATAGAAATTGAGTACTGGGTTTAAAAAGAAAATAGGCTTAAGTGGACCACTCAACACCTGTAGAATTTGCAAAAAAAAAAAAATAAAATAAAGGAAGAAGAAAAAGAAAAGAGCAAGAGAGAGCCCTAACTAAAACAGTAACAATCCCTTTAAAAATACTAACCATAAAAATCTCCAAAGGCATTTATTTGCTCCTAGAATCACAGTGCATCCTTATCAGCCTTGTATCCTGGAATTCATGTTTCCTTAAAGATATTTTTTTCCTCATATTTCACCAGAGAGCTATATAAAGTGGAAAACATAGGGGTTCTTGAAGCCACAAATCATTTACTTCTTGCACTAAAAACAACTCTTCTGCAGAATTTTCAGAATTTTTTTCCTTCAGGTCTTCATATATTGCAATAAAGTTTTAACTGTGAGAAAGTTTGACCTAAAATTGCTTCAAAAACTAACATTCTTGGAAATTAAAGTAAAAAGTGAACAAGAGAACTTCAATGTTTACTGACATCCTTATCTATCACTTATGTTTGGACTAATTGCCACTAAAGAAACCCACAGATTAAAACAGATACTACCTCTGGTCAGTCTGTGTGTTGTACACATGACCATATGCACTGAGTGTAAAGATCCAGTCCTCTGCTACTGTAGCCCTTTGTCATGGACTTCAAGGTAGGACTTAAGACCTATCTTGATGAAATGCTCAGTTTTCAAATGCAGAAGAAATGGGTGTCCTGTGGGGGTAGCACTTGGTGCTGGTTTGCTTACAGCTTCTTGCACCAGGTCCACCAGGAAAGGGCCCCAGCACTCTCCGTGGGTCTAGAGACTAGCACTGAGGGAAGGAAGCTGAAGGTTTCCTCTTCTTCAGAGGAAGGTGCTCACTAGGTTCTTCTTCAGTGGGGAGTGCTGGCTGGTATGAGCAAACCTTCCCCAGGCTTGAGGATGACTTTGTCGCTGGTCTTGGTGTCATAGATGAACTCCTCAAAGAGGATGCTGTCAGTGAACATAGGCCATTTGGGGAGAAACTCACTAGGTAGATGGAGTCCTGTTCTGTTCCACTGTCCCAGGCCTGGGTTGACCAAGAAGAAGTTCTGGACTCAAAGTAGCATCCTAAAGGATGAATTTAGAAAGGCAGATGTTGAGGAGGGGCATCTCTCTGTATGTAAGACATGCTGTGCTCTGAATTTTTTATATTTAAACTTAGAAAAATCATTTTGTAGTTGAATTGTCTCTACTAAAGTTTCTGACATAGGTTTTATTATTTTTTTTAAGATTCATTTTTATTTATGCATACAAGAACCAGGGTGTAGGCCAGAGGTGTGGGAGATGAGAAATTCGCCAGAGACAGAGTGGGGAGCAGAACAGGTAGATCTACTGAAATACACTGCTGAGGGAGCAGTGGGTGAGACAGGAGAGGCCTGCTGCACCATGTGGGTTAGGTCCCTGGCTGGAAGCAAACTCTTGTCACAGTGGCTGGTGATAGCTTGATAGTGCTGAGACTTTAACCCCCATGCCACCAGGGAGGCCCTGATATAGGTTCTTATATAGAAATATTTCTTGAAAGGAAAAAATGTATCACTATAGTTCTAAAATAGGATCTATTGGCTTCTTAGATTCATGTGCCTGAAAAGGATTAAACAGTAACAAACACTTTGAATTATGTTGATCATGTTTGGGTTTATGATTTCTTTCATTTAAAGAGAGAATAGATTATAGTCAGCGGTTCCATTTATGAACACTCCAGTGACAACTTCTGGAATAAAATAAATTATTGCTGAATTTATTTTTACTTTCTAAGACATAATTTGTACCTAAAAACTCTCATGGATAAATATGTATGTGTGTGTGTGTATATATATATATATATATATATAGATGAAATCTTAAGTCTCAAAAAACATTTACATGTTTATTTTTATTTCTGAAAGTCCAAGAGTAATTCTGCTTTAAGTATTCTTTTCAATTCATGATCATGTGCTTGTCTTATCAAAATGGAGCAAATCTGAGTCTTTTTGAAACAAAGATTTAACTAGATAAAAGGGAATTTTGAAATTTAGGATATTTTAAAAGCAAGTTATGTTTATTAGTATTGATATAAGAAGTAGATAAATAAGTACTGTCTATAAGAAACAGAAGAGAATTATAATTTTCTTGCAATGAGGGTTTTTGCTCTGCTGGTACTTAAGCAGATGTTTGATGGGAAATTTTGAGACTTTCTTCCAGTTGAAGAATAAAAGGACATCAAACTCACCTCTGTGATATCAACAAATGCAGGCAGCACTGGATCTGAATCTGGCAATGAAATACATCCTGTGGGTGAAAAATTACAAATTTTCTTTTGTGGTTGGACCAATAAAAAGGATGGTAAAGGTGGCAATAATCAGTTCTTAAGGAGTAATAAAACATATCATTAGGAAAAGAGCATTCCATAAATTTAATCATCATCAATCTGAATGATATATTGAAGGACAGATGAAAGGGATGCATCTGCATGTGTATGTGATAAGAATGTTTATTGAGATGATTTTTTAGGGTGCTTATCTTGATTGAACAGATTTGGGCCAAGTAGGAAGGCTGATAAGTTAGGCCAGTGGGTATAAAAGTATAACTAAACTGACAAGAAAAGAAATGACTATATTAAATACTGGAACAGAGGCCCATGTATGGAATCCTATTGCCACCCTGAAGGTTGATTTTCAGAACACCCCAGAGGTTTTAACAAAGAGACAAAACCAGAGTATCAGTTGGTTTCTGAGTTGAAACTGAAGCTCACCTTTTCTTGTCAGGGGATTCCACTGTCTTGCATTTTATCTCAAGAGACGTTTGTGAAGTTTTCCAGTATTTGACCATCTAAACTACAAAAACAGAACTGGCAGAAGATAACAGCTTCATGCTATGTCATTTTTTTTTTAAGACTTATTTATTTATCTATACAAGCACTGGGTACAGTCAGAAGCGCAGGAGGGTGAGAGAATTCACCAGAGTCAGAGCAGAGAGCAGAGCAGGCAGACTGACGAAGTACACTGCTGAGGGGAGCAGCGGGCGGCAGGAGAGGTCTGCACGCCATGTGGGACCCTCGCCCGGTGGCGGGGGAGCAAACTGGCGCTGCAGAGGCTGCAGGCAGCTTCGCAATCCAGCGCTCAACCGCTACACCACCGGGGAGGCCCCACATGCTATATCATATTAAAATGGCATTTCCGCAAATGGCCAACAGGCATATGAAAAAATGTTCAACATCACTTGTAATCAGGGAAATGCAAATCAAAACTACCATGAGATACCATCTTACACCAGTGAGAATGGCACATATTAAAAAAACTAGCAACAACAAATGCTGGCGAGGGTGTGGAAAATAAGGAACTCTTCTGCACTGTTGGTGGGAGTGCAAACTGGTCCAACCACTATGGAGAGCTGTGTGGAGATTTCTGGACCTACTAAACATAGAGCTTCCATATGATCCAGCAATTCCACTCCTAGGTATTTACCCTAAGGACACAGAAACATCAATTCCAAAGAGCACCTGCACCCCTATGTTTATAGCAGCACTATTTACAATAGCTAAGCTTTGGAAACAGCCCAGATGCCCAAAAATAGATGACTGGATCAAGAAGATGTGGTACATATATACCATGGAATATTACTCAGCATTTAAAAAAGATAAACACATGCAATTTGCAGCAACATGGATGGCGCTGGAAGGGATCATGCTCAGCGAAATAAGCCAGAAAGAAAAAGAAAAATACAGGATGGTCTCACTCATAGCAGGAACCTAGAAAACTCAAATAATGGACCAGGAAAATGAATAACTATAAGAAAGTGAAAATCAAAATCAACAAAAAACTATGAACCAGAGACACTTTTTGGGAGGTGGGGGGCAGGAGGGGTGGGACTGGGGTCAGAATGGGGGGTTGAAATTGTATGGGGAATATAAAAATAAAATTTATTATTAATTAAAAAAATAAAATGGCATTTCCATGTTGTCTAATATGCCAGGAGTACTGGTGCTCCTGAGCTGTCTAAGCTCCTGGATCCAGCATGCTCTGAGGACCCTGAGTATGCTTGATTACCTTGTTGACTCTTTTAGATCCACTTTCCACTTCTCTCCCTTATATGGGTCCATATCAACAGTTCCTTGCCTGTTTTTGGTAGGACTCAGATAATGAGGCAATCCTTCATGCCTGGCAACAGGTCCCTGCTGCTTCTAGCTCCATATAACTGTTCTAATTCTTTGGGAATTTGGGAAACCTTTATAAACAGTGTCTTCTTAAAACATCCTAATTTGAATATGCCATCTGTTTCCTTGTGGGACCTGACCAATTTACTGGATGAGGGAATCTATTTGGGTCTTCTCAAGGGAAGAGGACTTCCCTGAGCTCCACTGGATGACCTTGGTTGGGCTGGACTGAGCTAAAAATCTGGACTTCTCTCAGAGTTATTCTTGCTATGAAGTAGTCACCAAAAATTCACCAAATGAGACATAGACGGGCCTGAAGACAGAAATAATACCACATGCGATGTGTCTGTCACAGAAATGACTATACAAGACACAAGTTATAGTGACAGCAACAATGAGACATTCATATCTTCTACGCTCTCTGTTAGACTAAGGATAAAACCAGAACTATGAAATCACCAATTGACCATCAGTGAACTTAACAGTCCCCACATCCAAGGATTGGTCTTCCTCTAGTGCTCTGATGATCAACTTTTTGAAGTGTAGTGCTGTGCAAGAGACTTCTGGTTGCTTGCCTTCTATGAATCCATGAGTTACTCCTTCACTTTCAGTTGTGTTGGAATCAAAAGACAGGAGATCACTTGTAGAACTTTTTGTTTCTGCCTTGTCTCACATCTCTGTTGAACTGAACTGTAGACAGCAGGGGAAACAACCCATCAAAACCTTATAAAGAGAGTCACCGTATTGCAACAAAACTTTAGGACAGATTTTACCTCTTCCCAGATGAGCTTTTAAAGAATATTCTACTTCAAAACTATTTCAGTGTGTGTTAGAAATTTGAAATTTAAAACAAGAACTGATAAATATTTAAGTTCTAAAATATAAATACCAGATAGGGGCTGTTCAATTTGAAGAGTGGCAAAAAATTTTTATTTTAGGTCTTTATAAAAAAGTGTTGTCAAGAGTTGCTTGTATTTATCAATATTTTTGGCTGCCTTTTAAGTAAAGTTATGAAGTGCCCATCAGCAAGAAGGATGAATTATCTTTTCTTCCACAAATAGCCTCCTTTTAGATAAAAGAAGATGGCAAAGTAGGATATAACAGTGGGAGAACAGCACACACATGTTGTAACCAACTCAAAGCTTTAGTCCTTAAGATTATTTTTCTTCTACTTTTTATCAAGAAATATTTTTAAATTAAAGCTCAAAACTAAATTAAATGTAATCTTTTTCCTCAAACTCCATTTTAAATAATGTCTTGGAAGGTGTGAGAAAAGAGGAATGAGTAGTGCATAATTAACTGTGTTTATTATCATATTTATTGATTTAATGCCTTTTCACATGGAAAAGTGAAATAGGACAATATAGCTCTGACTGTTGAGGATCAGGTTTTACTTTTGAGTTCATGTCATAAATCCACACTGAGGGATGCAAAAGTGTTTTAAAGGCCACAGAAATTGATAATGTGTATTCCTGGCATTTCTTTGGACCACACAATCAGTAAGAGTCTATAGTTCATAATTTCACTGGTCAATTATAAGAGACAAAGCTGGATTCTTATTACTGAGCTCTCCAAGGTAGAGTGGCCTTTTCCCAGTACAAATTGTCCTTGAAACCAAGGGGTAAATTTGTTTCTCTGCTTTATTTCAGATTTAGTTTGGTTTCATGTGTGAGTGTGTAATCAGACAGCCTCCCACTGCAAATGACATTTAAGCAATTGTTAAAATATGCCTGTCTCATAATTTTATAAAATGCACTTTTGCTGATCCTCACTATTTGCCTATTTATCTCATGCGGTGTTCTTGACTTTAAAGTTTGTTCCATTACTGAGTAATTGATTAATTACACTCATTCAAACGAGACACCATTAAGATGCGATTGGTTTAGCCCAGACTTTACATATAAAAATTGGTTGTAAAAGATCAGCACGTAAAATTATTGGGGAAAATATACTGTATTTCAAAGATAAAGTTAATTACCCATCTCTTTCTTTCTTTGCTCTTCATTTCATCATACACATGATGAACATGCAGGGAGAAAAGGATTTTTACTGATATTTACTGAGACAATCAATGTGTCATTTCATGCACCAAAAAAAAAAAAAAAAAATGTTTTCCTTCCCTTGTCTGCCATGTTTGCCCACGGCTTTGAAGAAAACAGATCTTGAATGGAAAATTTGAGAACCATATGAATCTTAGGAAGTAAACATCATTATATAATGGCTCTGATTAGGATTTGAAAATCAGCTCAAAGATTATATATACTTTTGTTCTTTCTAAACTCTGATTTCCTTATAGTTCTTGTAATAAGACAGCAAATATATCCTATCAATGTTACATTTTGGATGGTTCTGATATCAGGACATTTTTAAAAAGTATTTTATAAGTGAATTTCTCAACTCCTGAATAGTATTGTATAATTAGGTTATTCCTGAACAGTTTTTCTGAACACTGGGACTGGTGCTTCACTGACTGTTTTTTGAATTGCTTAATCATTAAGCATTGAGGGAGTGGTACAATTCACATGGAACAGGTTATAAGAAAGGCAAATGCCTGTTTACTGAGAGGATGGCTGCGCCGGGCAGTTTACATGCATTCACATTTATTCTTTTCAACAACACAATCCCCCATTACAGATAAGGGAACACACAGAGAAAGGGCAAGTTTTCAGCGAGGGATACTGTGTTCTATACTGATCTGTTTTCTGTCAATATAGATTGTTTGCATTTTCTGTAGTTAGATATAAATGGAATAATAATGTACTGTCTTTTGTCTGGCTATTTCATTGAACATAATTATTCTGAGATAAATCAATGTTGCTGTGTATTCCAATAGTCCGTTCCTTCCCTGAGTAGTAGTCTGTGGTAAGAATATGCCACAATTTGTTTATCTACTGCTCTGTGGATAGATATTTGAGCTGCTTCCAGTTCTTGATCATTACAAATAAATATGCTGTGGACATTTGTGTACACATCTTTGAAAGAGTATGCTCTCCAACTAGATGGAATGATTGTCAGCAGTTTCCCATATTTGCTTTTGGAGATAAAGCATATTTAAAATGAATCTTTTGCTGTTCATCCTTATAATGTGTGAGTAAAGATGTCTAATTACTTCTGCCTTGTGCTGAGAGAATTGAATGAAGTCACTGCTATAAAAGCCCTTGTTAAATTGTAGATCAGGTTTAATACATGTGAACTGAAAGAAAGATGATACCATGAGACTCATTCCATTTTGGGTTTTCTGTGGGTACCTGCTTCTAGGAGAAAGGAATTTCCTTTATAACAAGTTACTTTACAACATTCTGAGCATTGATCTCCCTTATTTTAATCCCCTTCTTCACCCTCCCTTGCAGAATGTCTCTTACTTATGGTTGCCTGCTAATTTTTTTTATTATTGTTATTTTTTTTCCTGATCCCTTATTTGGTTTCCCTATATCCCTCCTATAAGTGAAACCAGCTGATATTTTTCTTTTTCTTTCTGGCTTATTTTGCTGAGCATAATCCCTCCTAGCTCCATCCATGTTGCTGCGAATGGCATGAGTTTATCAAAACGGGAGAGAAGAGCACAAGGGATTATGGTGATGGTTCATGGGTGAATTGGTGGTAGGTATTTTATGGGAATACACCTAAAGGGAGAAAACATACAAGCATAAATTGTACAAAAATGGAACAATGATGTATTATGTATATATATATATATATATATATATATAGAGAGAGAGAGAGAGAGAGAGAGAGAGAGAGAAAACAAAAACAACAAAAAACAACATTCTGAGCATTGTTATTAGTGACTGAAAGTTTGCCACACTGATCAGCACTTAGTGTTAGGATCAAAATGTTTTCTGGGAGACTATGTTTTCATTACACGATGGAAATCATTGGGGGAACATGATCAATTTTAATTTAGAAACATCTTTGGCAGATCTAAAAGTATATTCTTGAAGAGATAAATACATGAAAAAGAAAATTCAAGGGAATTTTCTTTAAAATGTTGCAAAAATTTCATCACCTAACATTTTAATTTGCTTCTGAAATAGATTTTTTTAATTATTAGTTTTTCATTTATTTGAAGGGAGGGGATAGTAAGCATTTGAGCAGTCATCAAGAAAACAGTTTCTACTATTTCTTTCATATTTAAATTAAAAATTTGTTCTTTAACTGCAGTGGTTTGTCCAGAAGACTTTGACATCTATGCAGAATATTCTCCTATCAACTTTAACTTCTCCCTAACCCATCTGAATTCCCATGAAATACTGTGGAGAAACATCTTGAAATTAAGAAAAATGAGTTTGCTTTGGTAAACAAGGGTTTTCATCTTTTATTACCTTTACTTTTTAATATTTACTTTCTCTGGAGATATGCAAATCAGAGCAGTCTGAAATTCTGAAAAATTAACTGTGAAATTCCCCCAGAAGTTATTCTTCAGGGGACTGTGGAGCCCATGCTTTAGGAAAATAGTATGAATAAGGGGCCAGGAAGGAGATGGGATGAGGCCTACATTCCCACTTTACAAATTCTCCTTGAGGGCCTGGGGTCTTGACACGTATTTATCCTCTGATACACTTTAAAAAATACCAATTATGACCCCCAACTGTAGATATGTTTTGAGTAATGAGAGCTAAGAAGAAAAAAGTACAACAATTCTTGCCACAAATCACAAACCCACATTACAGTGTTGAGAAGCTAATAGATACAGGTATGCTTGTGGGGATGCTGTGAGAACAAGTGAACCCTGGTTTAAAGTAGCACTATTATATTATTTTATTTAAGATTTTAATGATTTTGGCCTCTCTGGTGGTGCTGAGGCTTGGACATAGCACTGTGAAGCTATCTGCAGCCTCTGCAGCACAAGTTCTATCCAGCAGACCTCTCCTGTCTTGCCCACTGCTCCCCTCAGCAGTGTATTTCAATCAGTCTGCCTGTTCTGCTTCCCACTCTGGTGAATCCTCTCACCTCTGTCCTGTACCCCAGTTCTTGTATGCATAAATAAATAAATCTTAAAAAATTTAATGATTTTGCTGGTAATACATTACTGTGGCTCAGACAGCAAAGTGATACAAAATGTGTTTCGCTGAGTCTTACTACTACTCCATGCTGTTCCCCAATATCCCCAACCCACAAGGTCCACTATTTAGTCATTTTACCTGTGTTCCTAGTATCATCTTGATTTGTTTAAATGATGATGATGTCATTTAACTTTTAATGGGAAATCAGGTCATCACGAACGAAAATGATTAATTGCCACTTTTTTGATCTCTCTCTGCTGAGGTATTGCCCTCAGAGGTTCATTAGTGACATGGCCAAGGACAGCAGATGTGCTTTCCACAGAGATTGTTTCTGACTCCGGAGGGAGGAAGAAATTCAGCTCTTGTGCCTCTCCTTAAGAAATCACCCAGTCTCATGTTCTAATTGGAAATTCTTTTATGTGAAATATATTCAGTTTTCAGGATTTGGCAGAACTAAACAACGGGGGAGGGGGCAGAGAAAGGGACCTTATAATCCTCATGATGTGTCTTTTAAAAGAGGATAGGGAGAAAGTAATTTAATATTTGAGGAGAGTCTGACTCTCTTACTTACCTAAATCCTAACACATGGATTTCTTTGAATCCTGGAAGTTTCTTAAATACATTTTGCATCTGCAGAGAGAAAGACATTTATGAAATTCTCTTTGGTTCTACTGCATTATATCTTACCTAATGGAATAACCTAAACACTTTTGATGAGTTAGGGGAAAAAGTGAAAATGGAAGCAGAGATTGAGGCCAAACTCTTTGTTCTCAGTTATTTCTGAAACTCAGAGAAAATTGTTTTGCTATTTATTTAAAAGTTGAATGGTTCTGACCTACTGTAATGATTACATTAGTATGAAGTAACTTTAAGGTGGTACTTGGAAGAAATTTTTTTTGGCTACAGTATTTGTATTTATACATATGGGGGAGTAACTATAGTATTTTCTGAACTGAATTATATGATTTGTAAAATATTAAAGGAATTATTAAAGTAAACATAGCCACTATAGATAAATAAGTAGACTCTAACAGATTAGATTTGCTTCTAGATATGCATTTCAAATAAATTTCATAATCACTCCAACTATGCTAATAAGGCATAATTATTGGAATATTTTATAATTGCTAATCTGAAATACTCTCCAACTCAGTACAGTATGACTTTTGCCCCTGGAAGTGCCCATGAGGGTTTTCTTTAGGCTACTGTCTCTCTGCTATCTCCACATAAGCAGCATTTTCCACATCTCTACCATGGAGTCCTGTCTTTTCCCTCTTTCTTTGGCTATTTCTCTGACTACTTTCTCTGTCCTTCTAATCCTATTCTTATGTTCCCTCTTTACTTTAAATACAAGGATTCTGCATGCTTGCATCACCAGCCTCCTCATCTCACTCAATCTCCCATTTACTCACTAAATTCATTCTGGATGCAGTGCTAGGCTGTCAGGACTCATTGTCACATAAATAGATGGACACTGTGTCATTCAACTTATATAAGGCCAGGAGGCAAGAAAGACCAAAAGGAAGAGGCCGTAGTTTAGTAATGATGCTTGGTTTGGGGTGGGGGGTAGCAAAGGCACAATGAGGCTGAAGAAATGAGCAGGGACTTGACCCTGTCCACCCATTTCTGTGTCCACTCCCCTCTGTCTCTCATCAAGGGATATCATTTTCTTCCATGGCTTCAACGACTACCTGATACACAACTTTGAGTTCTCAACATGAAAATTCCAACATTTGTTTCTAACTAAATATGCCCAAACCAGCGTCATTTTTTCCCTCCCAAATCTCCCTTTCTTCCTGGGTTCTTTGTCTCAGTCAAGGTCATGAATACACATGATCTTCTAGAAACCCCCAAACTGTAACTACCTTTCCCTTGCATCCAGTCACCAATTTCTGTTGGTTCAAATCCCATATGCCTTTTGTTTCCACCATGTTCTTCTTATTCCTGTGGCTAATATACTCTCCCTAGCTCCCCTCCTGATTCATGAAATGGTTTTAAGGGGAGGGAGAAGAAATAGTTTTTTGGGGTGTGTTGGGACAGGGTTAAAGGAGAAGGTGTCTCTTATTACAATTTTGTTTCAAATTAATCAGTCTGTATCTTTTGTTATTCACTAAAAGTCCCTTGATGGGATCTACTGTCAAATGAATGAAGTTCAATTCTTTAGAAAAGTGCCCTCCATTATCTGCTCTCTCCACTCCTCAAGTGCCTTAGTAAGTGCACTTCCTACCATCATTATCTCCATGGCCAATATTGTATTTTCTAGTAACACTAAAGTAATCCCAACCACACCCAAACACATACTTCTAGCTCCCTCATCCTTCTAGGACTCCAACTCTTATTGTCTGCTCATTGATTGCCCCTTTATGCATCTTGATCTTCCTACCACCCAATACCTAGCAGATCATCATCCACATAGTAGGGACAGCAAATTTCATCTAAGTGAGTTGAGTGCATCACTTCATTCTAAACTCATCAAATGCCACTGTTTTGTCTCTGTATCCAAAATTACTGCTGTTAACTCTACATTATCTATGCCAAGGACTGGAGCAGTGATGCATAGACAATCCCTAACTCACTTACACTGGCTATGGAGTACATCAAGGATTTTGTCCCCCAGCAGACTGATTTACCTACTAAATTATATTTTCTTGTGAGAATATTAGTAGTTTTCATTCCCTGATGGCATAGTAACTGCAATTTTAAAGGTGCTCAGTTTGGGAGTATAGAGAGATAATTGTATAGGTCTGAGTTAAATATTGGTTCTGATACTTTCTAGCTGCAAGACCATGAGTTTATTGCTTAATCTCTCTGAATCTGTCTCCTCACCCAAAATGAGATAACAGTACCTGTATCAGAAGTTAGTGGTAAGGGATAACCAATAAGTCCCTGACATACAGGGAACTTGGAATATCTATCTGCTTATTCTGTAGGTCTCCTACTGGGTTATTAACTCCATAATCACCTGATTTTCTTTTATTCCCTCAATGGCCACACAGCATGGAGACTGGCAAGGGCAGAGCAAGAGTTGAGTCAGTTATTTTTGAAAAAGACTCAGGGGGTGGTGAGGGGAATAGGACAAGGGTCCTCCTAGGGATCAGGGTCAGAGGATAGTAAGTTTTGTGTTTCTGTCTCCATCCATCCATGGACTTAGTGGAGGAGAGATAAGAGGTTAGGTTTTGCAGAACTGATCTTTATTATGGGGCAGGCAGGAAATAACTGTGTCCATGCTTCAGGTTAAATCTGGTCTCCTGTGACAAATAGATTGGGGGGCCACAGAACATTTGTCCTGCCATTCCATTAACAGCACTGGGGACTAAATGTTTAAGTGTTAGCTGTAGTTTCTGAAACAAAAGATTCAGACCTTGATTCATCCCTCTGCCTTGTCGAGGATACCAGAGAAGCTGTTACACATATGAAAACAATCAATCAAGCACAGAAGCCTGCAGCTGCAGCTTGGGCAGCAGGGAGCATTGCTGGGGAGAGCTATCCTCCCCTCTAGGAGTGCTCCACAGTACTGGCTCCAGTGGAGGGGATTTACTGTTTGTGTCCGTGCCCTTTTTGTGAACCTGCCTATGATTGATTAAGAATCATTTTTGCATAGGAGGGTGCAAAAGGCATGTGGGGAGGAGATGACAAAGACCTTCAGTTAATTCTGCTAAATAATCTTCTGGGGACTTTGCAATCATGGAGCACTAGACACTAAATTGCTAATTAACTACCCAGTTAACCTTATTAATAATACTAAATGCACAGGGGTCTCCCTGATTCTGCTGGAATGTATGTTAACGGGGCTATAAAAAGGCAGTCATGTTGAATTCTCATGAATGTTTGCACAGAAGAAAGCATTCAGACAACAGCTAAGCATTCTTTTTGACATTTCTATTAAATTGGTCATTAGGTTTATTGTGGAAATTAAATTACTGCAAAGCAGTGCCCATTAATTCTTGATTAGGCCCGAATGACTGCGATAATGCAAGTGTTGGGCTGTGATGGGGATGTTTGGTTATCTGATGGCAGGTTGAAAGGTGGTCTTGGGTGCTCAGGAACCTGGAAGGGGAACAGATGCTGAGCAGAGGGGCTCCATCTGCAAATGGAACCATCAGGACTAATATGATGGGTCTCTGAAATAATACTGGGTAAGGCCTAATCTTTGGTTAGTAAGTTTTTTAGAGGCTAGAAGGAACATGTACATTGGATGATGATATAAAATTCGTTTCCCATAAATTTTATTTGGGAAAAATAGGGAAGCACAGCACCATGTTTAAGAGCAGGTGTTCTGGTGCCAGGCTACTAGGGTTTAATAAACTTGACCCTGCCAGTTAATAAGTGTGACTTTGTTGGGCCTATTAATTAGTTCCTTTGTGTCTCAATATCCTGCCTTGTGAAGATGGGAAATAATATTACTTGTAGGACTGTGTAAAACTCAAATGAGTTAATACATATGAAGCCCCAAGAACAGTACTAGATATTATAGTGTTAGGTATAATTTTCATAGACAGGGTTTTATTTTAGTAATTTTAAAAAGATTTATTTTTATTTATTTTTACATATAAGAACCGGGGTGTAGGCCAGAGGTGCAGGGGGTGAGAGGGTTCATCAGAGAAAGAGTGGGGAACACTGCTGAGGGGAGCAGTAGGAGAGACAGAAGAGGTCTATTGTGCCATGTAGGTTAGTTCCCTATTCGGGAATCAAACTCATGCCGCAGTGGCTGGAGATAGCTTGATAGCACTGAGACTTTAACCCCTGTGCCACCAGGGAGGCCCCCGTACACAGTGTTTTAGACTTTGGATAGGCACATGGGTAATTCTTGGCAGAAACAAGGTTAGAATTCAGATTTTAAAGAATTATAATTGATTTACATCATCCTATATTTGGTTGTTATAAAGACTTAGAAAATTAAAAAGGCTGTGGAAATGGTCTGTAGCCAATTTTCCAATTTTGAAGATATTCTATACCAAGGAGTTGCTGAAAGTGAATGTTTCAAAGAACAATTAGAAAGGTTTACAAGCTATTCTTTAATTCATTTTATCTAATAATCCATGTCTAAGTACTTCTCCGGTTCATAAACATTCCATGCTGATACTTTCTCTTTGAAGTTTATAAAAATGATTCTTTATATTTTATTGACTATATGCTGATGCAGGGGGAGGCTGGGGTTTAGGAATGTTTTATTTATCTAGCTCCTCTCCAGCTGAGAGGAGCAAAGCATTGAATTCTCTGAGTGTGAGAGGAAGGAGCGGCCCGTTTGTTCCCTGGCCCTGCTGCGGAAGATGCCCGGGCATCCATAAATGTAGTCCATGGTTATGTTATCTCACTGATGCTTCTATTTTCAGTTACATTTCTATGTAGTTAACATTTCTAGTTAACTATACCCCAAATTCTGTAAGGCAGCAAGGCTTCAGAGATGAAAGAAACAGTTCCTGCCACAAGCAGAAGCTTCTAGTCTCGTGGTGGAGGTGAGGGTGATGGTGAGGAGGGGCGAATGGAGACAATAAAAGCCACAGACATGTAAATAAACAATCTCAGACAGAGTGATATGGTTGTGGCAGCAGTGGGCAATGAGTGTTATTCCAGATGAAAGGTACTGAACCCCAACAAACATTCCATAATGGCATAGGAAGTGTCTTTAAGACAGTTGCGGTATACACACACACACACACACACACACACACACATACACTCATATGTATGTAACATTACACACACACACACACACACACACACATGATAGTTTTGGAAACTCAAGTGTAAAGAAGGGGAAAGGTAAGGAGCTATGGTTAAGATGAAGCTGGAGATAAAGGCCAGGGTTCTTATGGTGGTATGTAGCTTTCACTTAGCATAGTAGCCTGGATTTCTCTTGTAGCGAATGGATTGTCTTCTGTTTTAGTTAGGAGCTGGCAGATATGATGGTCAGAGATAGAAGAGATATTGAGGGACAGTTCCTTAGTTTCTTGGTGGATGACACGGACAACATAATTGCTTTCCAATTATTACCCATGAAAAAGTCCTGTCTTTAAATTGAATCAAACTGGAAAAGTGGAAATATTGTGTAAGACAAAGTACTATGAATTAAAAATTTGTATTTCCATACAACATGTTTCGTAGTTGGTGGCTACATGGATATTTTAGCATTAAAGAATATTTTCTTAGTGGCTTTAAGTTGAATGAAATTTTAAAGCCTACTAATATTTAAAGAAAATTTAAATGCTTATTACTTTTAAGAATGGAAAAGTTGGAATGGGAAACTTTCCTGGAGATACATTTTGCCATTGTAGTCTCAACATTTTGCCATTGTAGTTTTTGTTCTATTTTTAAAGGCTAAATATGAATGTCTGGTCATATGTAGTTGAAATGATTTATTTATTTTTTTTTTTGTGGGACTCTCGCTGGTGGCCGGGGAACGAACCGGTGCTGCAGGCTGTAGGCAGCCTTGCAGCCCAGCGCTCAACCGCTGCGCCACCAGGGGAGACCCAAAATAAAAGGAGCCTTTTAAATAAAAGTCTTAACTAGAAGTAGTCTCCTTCATTACTTCTTTCACTGAGAGACAAAGTACAAAGTTCCAGTGAATTAACTATTTAGGAGCCTTAAGAACACTGTCATTTTATAAAGAGCATGTATGCTTCTTTACACACATGTACACACACACACACAATTCATGTATTTATTGCTGAAATACTACGATTGTACTCCATCCTTGTATGACTTTGATGAGAATTTGATTAGACAAAAGAACTTCTGGTTTCTCAGATATTACCTAATATAATCCTTTTTAGAATTGAGTCTAGACTGGTTTAATGAGGCTATTTGTGCTTAAAATTCATATTGAACCTAGTCAGAAAGCAATATGAGGTCAAGCAAGTGTTTGAAATTTTTCTCAGAAGAAACGGCATGTTTGGGCCACATTGGAGGGAGTGGCTAAGAATAGAAGCACTGCTCTGAGGATGTGGATTTGGCCTCTGATCACAAAGGGCCAGGGGTCATCCTTATTGCCCTTGGGAATTGGCACAAGCAGGAATCTCTCATTGTTCTGAACTCTCACAGGCTGCTAGGGCACAGAGCCAGCCCAGTCTGGGTTTCAAACTTAGGGTTTGGTAGGTTTTCATCCTTGGACGCCCAGGTGATCTGAAATGTACACAGCTTCTCAAAAGAGTGAAAGATATGCTTGTGGAAAACTGAATGTCTCTGGTAAGTGCACCTGCTCTCTTATGAACTTAGAATTGTGGAAACTGAAAAAAAGAGAATGAGAACTACCAGTGGAAAATGCCTTGCAGGGCAGAACTCTTCTGCACGCTGGCTCAGGTAGCTTCACCTCATTTCTTACAACCAACTCCCCTCTTCGGTGAGTGGTGGATAGTCTCTAAATCTGTACAAGGAGCATGTGAAGTCACAGTATTGATGTTTGCTTAACTAAAAGATTTTCATTCATTCGTTCACTCAAAAACACACACTGAGTGTCCTAGATAGTAGGAAAATAGAAGTATGGCACATGGTAGTATCTTCCATAGGCTTACCATTTTATTTGGAAAATTTGACGTACACATTAGAAATTTAAATAAATTCTTTAGGTGTATTGTGAGAAGTCTCCAAATTTACTCTTAGCCACTGGATAAATTTTTCATATCTCTTACCCAGAACCCTTAGTAGTTCCCCTGTTACCTAAAATCCAAACAATTTTTCTTGATTCAAGGCTTTCAACCATGGTTCTGATACCAACCAGAACATTTGTAGTGTGTCTCACTTCTCTTCTGACCACCAGACTATTCTACTCACTATTGCTGAGATACCACGTCACTTGTGCAAGTGTCTTGACTGGAAACCCTCCTCACTGTCCCGTACCCACCTCTAGCAATTACACACAGACACACATGTGCAAACCTACTTTTTTTAAATTTCTCATCAATATTCTGTGTTTAATATAAAATAACATCTCTTTGACCACTCAAGTAGAAATCTTTGCTTCCTCTAAACTCTTGTAGCATTGAATAGCTTCTGAATTGATACTCATGATATACTCACCTAGAGTCTTCTTTTTATATGCTAATCTTGTCACTCACATATAATCTCTTTGAATCCCACATGAGTCTCACAATTCATTGAATTTTCCAAAGCAAAAAAATGTGAAGCCATTTATACACAAAACTCTTTTTTTAAAAAGATTTATTTATACATACAAGAGCTGGGGTGCAGGCCAGAGTTGCAGGGTGGGGGTGACGGTGAGAGGATTCACCAGAGACAGAGTGGGGAGCAGAACAGGTGAAGCTACAGAAATACACTGCTGAGGGGAGCCACAGACGAGACTCTGCAGCCTTTCTTATCCTAACATTTTATCCCCATCTACACACCTGCCATATTCAATCATAGTGCCTGAGAACCGCTTTTAGTTTTTCCTATTTGCTGTACAGGGTTTTTATCAGTTTGGTATCTGTCTGACTTATTCATGCTGGACATGACTGAGAGCAAAACCTCTAAACTGTTGTCAGCATTAGATTCCACCTCAGTGTAGAAATAACTTCATTGATTAAGAGATTCATTCATTCAAAAGCTTGAACTTTAATATGTAAGGCTCTATGAGGCATTGGGGGGGGGAAGGAGTCTCTGCCCTCCTAGAATTTATAATTCAGTTGATTCTTGCAATTCCTCCCACTTTATCTTAGTTTTTAATCTATTTTTTTCCCTTAGGCCCTAGGAAGAATGAAAATACGCAATAAAACAAAGTCACTGATTTAATTGTAGTAATAAAAATTCAGTAATATTATCCATTTCCTTCTCTTTTCAAATTTTACTAATAAAATCAAAACAGACATGCGAAGAACTAGAATAACTTTCAGAACTCCTTACTATTGTAGGCATCTTGATGTCACTGAGGAGTGTGTTGTCAGGAGTGAGAGGAGAGGGCCCGAGTGAGACATTGGTAACATCTGCGAGAATTAAAAAAATCACAGTCACAAGAATGAGACTGAAGGAGTTTATATTGGAACAAGGTTAAAATAACATATGCTCTTTCTCTGTCATTCTGCAATTGGCAGATGTTAGGTGCATTTTGAACTCATTTTTTTAAAGATCACACAAATATGTTATTGAGCAAAATATATAACTCATTCTCATGATCCCTCTTAAATTCTCTTTTCTTCCCTGATAGAACCCATGTTTGGTGTATCTTTACATGTGTTAAAGTTCAATGTTTTTGCCTAATAAGATCTGGCAAATTTTTCTATTTGTGACTATACAAAAGATGCATAGGCAAATATTTATCATGCTCATTTTTTTGTTTGAAAATATTGGTAATGATTGCTTCTAATTTGAGAATAGTTGGTGATTTGCTTTATCTTTATACATTTTGATAACATTTCCAAATTTCATATAATGTTTAAATTATTTTATGGGATTAAAATGTAATTTATTTTGAGAAAGTGCATTATAAATTTTATCAACTTCAATTAAAGTCACATGCTTTCATGATTATTTGAATAAAGGATAAGAAGCAGAATCAATGAGATCTAAGTTTGCCTATAGAAATCATGGCAGTTTCACCTGGCCCTTCTAGTATCTCCTTTGTAGCTATTTCGTCTTTTCTATTAGCATAATAAGAAAGAGAAAAGTGGTGGTAAAAAGGAGCTTGATTATAACAAGGGACCTGCATTTAAATTTTCCTATATGCAAAATATCTAAAAATTAGAGAAAAAGCATATAGTACTTTAAAATTGAGCTTACTATTTTTTTTCCATTTCAGAAGTAATCTTCTAATATATTTCATTGACAAAAAATTCAAACACCCCAAAATGGTTATGTTTGGCTCCAAGGTTTTCTATAAGTATCATGGTTTTGTGTAGTCTGGGGACCATTTCTGTAAGCAGGCAAGCCAGTTTTCAAGCTTGATGTTTTATATTCCCATTGTGCTTACACTGTGTTCTTGACAGCAAAGAAAATTGATGACATAACCTATGACTGAAATATTCTTTCTAAAATCTCAGACTCAAAACTTTCAAGCCTGCAAATCCAGTTTATCTATTAAGGTAACTTTTATGGTTATGGTATTGGGAGAGAGAGATTTATGGATAATGTGGATCAATTAAATACCTATACTGGACATTACTATTGCCTGAACTGTAAACAACCAAGGAGTTGTGAGTATTTTACAGTGCCATGGAGTGGTATTGTAGAAGACAGTCTAAGGGTAAATCCAATGTGATAGTTACAGGGTTGTCTGCAAGTAATGTGGGCCCACTGTAGAAACTTTCCTTTAGGAAAGAGTGGCAGTTGTGACTTCTTTGAAGCTCACTGAATGATCTGTTTCTATATGCTATGAGGTCCCAAAGGATTTTGTCTGTGTTGGTATAAAATAGTCATAGTTGTCCAGAAAATTTGTTCCAATTTTCTGTGGTTCATGGAGATGGGAAGACTAAAGGGAATGGCTAGGTGCTCTGATGTTGTAGATTCATCTAGACTGGCAACAGCCAGTGGGACCATCTCAATATTTCTTTCACACCTAGTACTGCCAGGGCAAAGACAGCCTGGTATGGGCTCTAATCAATCAGAATGGATGTATTCATAAACAAGAACAACCATCTTTGTACACAGAGGCTAAATATGAATTCAGACTATAGTAGCATTTGGAATTTATTATTCTTATTTGTATTTGCTGGTGTTATGCTGTGTGACTAATAAAGATTTTAATGGAGATCATATTTAGTGTACCCTCATTGTATCAAATAGTATAGCATTTATAATGTAGGCAATTTTCTTTTCTTTTTTTTTACTGTATAGGTCTTTCTTTTTAATAAGCTCTCCTTCCTATTTTTATGACTTTTGTATCTTTGCTTTATCTTGCAGTAAATGTGAAAATAACCAAGAAGAGTAGTTACTTAAAATGATGCCTGATGCGTTAGTTAGAAGTTAACACCTTGTAGGACTCTGTCTGATGTTGTTTCCTTACCCTTTGACAATAGGTGTGAGTCAGCCACAAAACCAGCAATATAGACCATTACAGAAGAGCTCAGTTGGGGAATCTGGGCCACTGAATTATTTTACTGGCTTTTTTTTTTTTTTTTTTTTTTTTACCATCAAAATTTTATTATTCAGACCTTAACATATTTTTTTTTTTATCTTTTTTATTTTTATTTATTTATTTATTTTTTTAAAATATTAAATTTTATTTTTATATTCCCCCATACAATTGCAAACGCCCCATTCTGACCCCAATCCTTCCCCTCCCGCCCCCCACCCCCCAAAAAGTGTCTCTGGTTCATAGTTTTTTGTTGATTTTGATTTTCACTTTCTTATATTCATTTTCCTGGTCCCTTATTTAAGTTTTCTAGATTCCTGCTATGAGTGAGACCATCCGGTATTTTTCTTTTTCTTTTTGGCTTATTTCGCTGAGCATGATCCCTTCCAGTGCCATCCATGTTGCTGCAAATTGCATGTGTTTATCTTTTTTGAATGCTGAGTAATATTCCATGGTATATATGTACCACATCTTCTTGATCCAGTCATCTATTTTTGGGCATTTGGGTTGTTTCCAAAGCTTAGCTATTGTAAACAGTGCTGCTATAAACATAGGAGTGCAGGTGCTCTTTGGAATTGATGTTTCTGTGTCCTTTGGGTAAATACCTAGGAGTGAAATTGCTGGATCATATGGAAGCTCTATGTTTAGTAGGTCCAGAAATCTCCACACAGCTCTCCATAGTGGTTGGACCAGTTTGCACTCCCACCAACAGTGCAGGAGAGTTCCTTTTTCTCCACATCCTCGCCAACATTTGTTGTTGCTAGTTTTTTTAATATGTGCCATTCTCACTGGTGTGAGATGGTATCTCATGGTAGTTTTGATTTGCATTTCCCTGATTACAAGTGATGTTGAACATTTTTTCATATGTCTGTTGGCCATTTGCATTTCCTCTTCAGAGCAGTTTCTTTTTAGCTCTTCTGCCCATTTTTTGACTGGATTATTTTCTTTGTTGTTGTTGAGTCTCATCAGCTCTTTGCAGATTTTTGTGATCAGTCCTTTATCATTAGTGTAGGGTGCAAAAATGTTCTCCCAGTTGGTGGGGTTTCTCTTTGTTTTTGTTATTGTCTCTTTTGCTGTGCAGAAGCTCTTTAATTTGATGTAGTCCCAGCTGTTTATCTTTCTCTTCACTATCACTGCTTTGGGTGATGTGTCTGTAAAGATGTCTTTGATGTGCAAATCCCGTAGTGTTTCGCCTATATTTCCTTCTATGTATTTTATGGTTTCAGGTCTTATGTCTAGTTCTTTAATCCATTTTGAGTTGATTTTTGTGTATGGTGTGAGGGAGTGGTCAAGCTTCATTCTTTTGCATGTAGCGACCCAGTTTTCCCAGCACCATTTATTGAACAAACTTTCTTTGCTCCAATGCATAGTCTTTGCTCCTTTGTCAAAGATTAGTTGACCATAAATCTGTGGGTTTATTTCTGGATTTTCTATTCGATTCCATTGGTCTGTATGTCTGTTCTTGTTCCAATACCATGCAGTTTTGATGATTATGGCTTTGTAGTATAGTTTGAAGTCTGGGAGTGTGATGCCTCCATTTCCTTCTTTTTTTTTCAGTAGAGCTTTGGCTATTCGGGGTTTTTGGTGATTCCATATGAATTTCATCAATAATTGTTCTATTTCTTTGAAGAATGCCATTGAGATTTTGATTGGAATAGCATTGAATCTGTATATTGCTTTTGGTAGGATGGCCATTTTAATAATGTTTATTCTTCCAATCCATGAGCAGGGGATGTCTTTCCATTTCTTTGTGTCTTCTTCTATTTCTTTTAACAGTGTTTTATAGTTTTCTTTGTATAGGTCCTTTACCTCTTTTGTTAGATTTATTCCCAAATATTTGATTTTTTTTGTTTCGATAATAAAAGGGGTGGTTTTTTTGATTTCTTCTTCTTCAGATTTATTGTTTGTGTATAGGAAGGCTACTGACTTTTGCGTGTTGATTTTGTATCCTGCCACTTTACTGAATTGATTGATGAGTTGAATTAGTTTTTCTGTGGAGATTTTGGGGTTCTCTATGTATATTATCATATCATCTGCAAATAGTGATAGTTTGACTTCTTCTTTTCCTATTTGGATTCCTTGGATGTCTTTCTCTTGTCTTATTGCTCTGGCTAGGACTTCCAGTATTATATTGAAAAGCAGTGGTGAGAGTGGACAGCCTTGTCTTGTTCCAGATCTTAATGGAATTGCTTTCAGCTTTTCACCATTGAGAATGATACTGGCTGTTGGCTTGTCATAGATGGCCTTTATGATGTTGAGGTATGTTCCTTGTATCCCAAGAATTTCAAGGGCTTTTATCATGAATGGGTGTTGCACTTTGTCGAAAGCTTTCTCAGCATCTATTGATATTATCATATGGTTTTTATATTTCTTTTTGTTGATGTGTTGGATAACGTTGATTGATTTTCGGATGTTAAACCATCCTTGTGCCCCTGGAATGAATCCAACTTGGTCGTGGTGAATAATCTTATGGATACATTGTTGGATTCTGATAGCTAAAATTTTATTGAGGATTTTTGCATCAGTGTTCATTAGGGAGATTGGCCTATAGTTTTCCTTTTTTGTATTGTCCTTATTCGGTTTTGGTATTAGTGTAATATTGGCTTCATAGAACGTGTTTGGTATTGTCCCTTCCTTCTCAATTTTTTGGAAGAGTTTGTGAAGGATAGGCACTAATTCGTCTCTGAATGTTTGGTAGAATTCATTTGTAAATCCATCAGGTCCTGGGCTTTTGTTTTTGGGGAGGTTTTTAATTACCATTTCAATTTCGCTGCTTGTAATTGGTCTGTTTAGGTGTTCTATTTCTTCTTTATCTAGCTTTGGGTGATTGTAGAGTTGTAGGAATTTGTCCATCTCCTCTAGATTGTTGAACTTGTTTCCATATAACTGTTCATAGTAGTTACTGATTATTCTTTTGATTTCTGCTGTGTCCGTTGTGATTTCTCCTCTTTCATTTATGATTCTGTGTATTTGTGCTTTCTCCCTTTTTTCCTTTGTGAGCCTGGCTAGGGGTTTGTCTATTTTATTTATTTTTTCAAAGAACCAGCTCTTGGTTTCATTGATCTTTTGGATTGTTTTTTAGTTTCAATTTCATTTATTTCTGCTTTGGTTTTATTTATTTCTTTTCTTCTACTGGTTCTGGGGTTTTTTTGTTGTTCTTTTTCTAGATCTTTGAGCTTCGAGATTAGGTTGTTTCTTTGAGTTCTTTCTTGTTTTTTTGATGTGAGCTTCTATTGCTATATATTTTCCTCTTATTACTGCTTTTGCTGCATCCCATACATTTAGGATATTGGTGTCCTCCTTGTCATTCAATTCAAAGAATTTTTTAATTTCTTCTTTGATCTCCTCGTTAGTCCAGTGGTCTTCCAGTAGTGTGGCTTTTAATCTCCATGAGGTAGGATAGTTCCTTGCCTTCTTTTTATGATTTATTTCTAGTTTGATGCCTTCGTGGTCAGAAAAGATGGTTGGTATGATTTCAATCTTGGTGTATCTGTTGATGTTTGTCTTGTGCCCCAGTATGTGATCGATCCTGGAGAATGATCCATGTGCGCTTGAGAAAAATGTGTACTCCGTTTTT